CCAAAATATCGAGCTTCTCCACCGAGGCCCTCAGAGCCCCGAAGATACACCTAGATGCATCGGATGGATTCGCCCCCAAGAATCTGCACCCAACAACCAATAGACCGGGCCCTACAAATGCACGGGCAGGCCTCCACGTCGTAGACTCCCAAGAACGAACGGGCCAAAATCACCACCCCGCCAGACGTCCGCGAACCTGAACCTGTCTCTGCCGCCAGAAACTTAAGAACCTCCAGCCTGCAACGCCCAGCTGGAGGCATCGTTGATCTGGCCTTCGTGGACCAGCCCGTGCTCCTCAAGCATAACCAGATGTGCCCCCGACCACTGTAGCTACGGCGCGGCCGATCCCCAAGACGCGACGGTGGCCGCCTCGACCGTCCAAGCTGAACCCGAGCGGCTTCGCGCGCCGGGGAAAAAGCACCCAGGAGCTCAGAGCCTGGCTCGGGGGGCGGAGAACGGCAGAGCCGCTGCAGCACTTCCTGCTTCGCGTGGGCAGCGTCACGCGCGCGACTCAGCTGCTGTACTGGCCCCAATGATGCAAAAAAAGGTGGCCGCAGGTGGGGCCGTCTGACGAGGTAGAAGCTGTGGCTGGAGCTGCAGCGTCTCTCTGGCAAGGTCCCACCCACCCCTCTCCACGCTGCGGACTTAGAGGCAAGGGGGCTACCCTGCTTCTCCAGAGCTCGCTTTGCACGCTCGCGCACGTGAGTTATCAAGTTCCTTGTTCGGCACAGCCTTGAGAACCACTCTATTGTGGCAGGACGCTGGGCGCTGTGCGATGTGCGCGCGCGGTCGTCTTCCCACCGAAAGCCTCCGACGGCAAATCCTGCCAGCCTCAAGTGCTTCACGTCGTGCCACTGCGCGCGCGTCCATGAACGACTTTGATCCCGACCTTGCCAAATTCAACCCTTTCTGGAGCCTCGGCTACTAAGTTACGCTATGACGATATCCTCCAACGTTTTTTGCCTCTGCCCCATAGCTATGATGTCCACGTCTTGGAAATACATGTCCATGGGAGACCCTCCCAATTGGCGCGCTTCGGCCTGCACGCGAAGCATTGCATTGCCATCGTTCGACCCACGAGAGATGCGTACAAAAACATGCTTACCTGGACGCATCAGGTCGAACCGCTGGCCAAGAACATGTTGCAGGTTCGCCCATGGCGGAGACAGGGCCAGGACTCGTCGGAGAAAGCGTCGGCGAAGGAATCGGCAAAGGCGACGGCGAATGCGTCGGCGAAAACGTCGGCGAAGGCGTCGGCCAAAGCGTCGGCGAGGGCGTCGGCGAGGGTGTCGGCGAAGGCGTCGGAGAAGGCGTCGCGAAGGCGTAGGAGAAGGCGTCGGAGCTGAAGTCGTTGAAGACGGGGGCCCACGTGCGCAAAGCCACGCTGGATGCTGGAATTGCTGCACCCCGGACGACCCCGCACCATATATGAACTACTCCCCAAAGGGGGCGTTCACATTGTAGGGCCAATTCTGCGTCTTTAGGTCTTTAGCCCTATTCATACAGGAGAGTCTGCATCGCCGCTGTCCGAGGGCTGGAAAGACTGGCAAGGGAGGTCCACGCAATACTCGATGCGGGCCCAATTGTCGTCGTCGTACTGGGTGTTGATTCCCAGCATCTGCATATCACAAGTGCCACCTCCATTTCCATTCCAGAAACCATCGCGCCACGTTGGGGCTCAGACGGCAAAAACAAATCTGTCCATGCCTATTTCGGGCTTCGCTGCTTCTGCGGCTCCAGAGCCATAGCCTGGATCACCCGGCCGGATCACCAAATCACCAAATGACCAGATCAGCTGGCGGGGCCACTGGATCACCAAATCAGCCGGCCAGCCACTGGATCACTTGGATCAGCTGGCCGGATCACCGGATCATCCGGATCACCCAATCCACCGGCCAACTCACAAAATCACCAGATCACCGGATCAGCCAGCCGGAAAGCCGGATCACCGGATCACTCCGGATCAACCGGCTGGATCACTGGATCACCGGATCACCAGATCAGCTGGCCGGATCACTGGATCAGCTGGCTGGATCACTGGATCACCGAATCACCGAACCACGGGATCGGCAGGCCGGATCACCTGAGACGGATCATCAAAATCAGCCGGCCGGATAACAGGATCACAAAATCACCAAATTTCAAGATCAGCCGGCTGGATCACTGGAGCAAAGAATCACTGGATCACAAATCACCGGATCAACCGGCCGAATAACAGGATCACCAGATCACCGGATCAGCTGGCCAGATCACTGTTACCAGCCAGATCACTGGAGCGGCTGGCCGGATCACCAAATCACCGGCCAGGCCACTGATCACCGACCGGATCACCGGAACGACCCATTACATTACATGCTTGTTATTCTTCATGTTTTAACACTATTGATAGAAAACCTAATTCGTATGCGATCTGATTCCCCCACACACACACTCAGATGAAGGTATGAATTGCGACCGAACTTAGTCGGAACGCGCAGTGAAGGACGCGTCCACATCTGTTATGCAGAAAGGGTGGCGAAATGGAAAAAAATGCACTGAAAAAGGCAGAGAATTGGCGGCGTAGTGACCCCGACCGCGATTGCAGAGAATGGGTGGTACACAAACACACACGTACACACACACACACACACACACACACACACAAACACACAAACACACACACACAAACACACACCCACACACACACACACACACACACACACACACACACACACGCACGCACGCACGCACGCACGCACGCACGCGCGCACGCGCGCACGCACGTACACACACACACACCACACACACACACACACACACACACACACACACAGTCGTCACCCCCTTCCCGAACGCCCCCAGAAGAAGCGCGTGATTCCAGCAGCGGGCCCTGGTACCTGGGGCCTCACCCCGGAACTGGCTCTTCGTCCTGCGCCACTTTCCCACGGCCCCAGCGGGCCTTTTGAAGAGGTCGCAAGGGGCCCCCTGAACTTGGGAAAATGCACGACACCGAAAATTCCAGGGACCCTTCCCCCAGGACCCCTCCCTCCCCTGCGCGGCAGGAGGGCGAAGAGGAGGGTGACGACGAGAGGGGGGGATCGTGGACCCTCCGAGCGCGCGCCAGCGCCAACGTGCTCTCGCCCACCGAAACTATTCAAAACAACACCAGGCGGCGCAAGGAGGAGCCGACAGAGGCTGCGTGCTATCGGTGGAACTGAACGGGGCAACTTGCTTGCTTGCAACGCTGGCGGACGCAAGCGCGTCTGTCAACCGGCGGGGCGTGCCCGACTCCAACACGCATCAGGGTGGAACTGAACGGGGTAACTTGCTTGTTTGCAACGCTGGCGGACGCAAGCGCGTCTGTAAACCGGCGGGGCGCGCCCGACTCCAACACGCATTTGGGTGGACTGAACGGGGTAAACACACACTACTGGCGGTGCGCATGAGGATGTGGTGCGACGGGGGCAGGCCGCGGCGAGGCTGGGTTTGAGCTGGGCGCGGCGCGGGCGGGCGTCGTCGTCGTTCGTTTATGGTCGCCCTCACGCGCGCCTATCTCCCCTCTTTCCCATCCTTCCTCTGTCCTCTGTTTCCTTTTCTTTTTCCCGCGCTTCGCTGTTCTCAGAAGCCCTCTCAAAGCCTGTGGCTGGACTGTAGGCAGCACCCTGCCGCCTAAAAAGCCCCCCCGACTTCTTAGAAAGCTGCCCCCCTCGCGCCGCCCTCTGGCGCGCGCAGCCGACGGACACCAGGACATTCGACGAGGCGATTTTTACAAAACCGTGGCCTAAGAGGTCCCGGACCTCTTCCTCCGGGACGTGTTTTTCGCCCCAGACCTGTTTGTCATATGTGTCAGAGATCTAGTTTCCAGGCCACAACCCAAGCCCCCGGCGACAGTTCGGGAAGATCCCAGCACCCCCGCGACGCTGTCGGCGAGGCGCAGCTGCTGGAGAGCATCCCGAGGCGAGAAAACCTCACGCAAACAGAGAGAACTCCCGAAAATCTGCGAATATATCGTCAGAGATCTGGGGCCGGCCCAGCGCGCCAGGGTTGGGCTGACACGACTCCCGAAGATCACTGAGAGGAGCGCGGTATCGTGAGGGAGAGAGGGAGGAGGAGGAGGAGGAAAAGGAGGAGGAGGAGGAAGAGGAGGAGGAGGAGGAGGAGGACCCATGAGAAGGAGGAGATGGAGGAGCCAAAGGCCGCGCGGTATCGTGATCCTGGTGGTGGGAGACCAGGTCGTGGGAGTCGCCTGGCCGCAGCCACCCGCCGGCGACCGTTCTCCCGCCGATGCCCCATGCCGTTGCTGCTCGCCTCCTTCCTGCTTCTCCTCCCGCCTCCCTGCCCCCAGTCCCGGCGCCTCCCTCTCCTCCTCCTCCTCCTCCTCCTCCTCCTCCTCCTACTACTACTTATCCTTCTCCTCCTCCTCCTCCTCCTCCTCCTCCTCCTCATCATCATCATCATCATCATCATCCTCCTCCTCTTCTTCTCCATATGTTTATTTTTGGTAGTATTACCATTATTATTGTTATTTATATTGTTCTCAGTCTTTTCCTTAATATTAGTATCATGGTTCGTCTTGTTATATTCTTGGTACTATTATGATTCGTTGTCATATGATTCGTCTTATTATGATTATGATTGACAATAATAATAGCATTATCATTACTATGAGTAGTATTATTCTCATTAATCTTACTATTTTCAGTATGGTTATTATTATTCGTTGTTCGTACCATTATTATCATTATTCTTATGCTGCTTACTACTAGCACGAATAGTAGTATGAGCATTCGTCTTCTCATTATTTTTTTCTGACTAGTTCACGTTAGTTCAAACTCTGGTTCAAAAAACGAGCAAAACTCGGAGCGGAAGATCTATGCACAGCGCTGGTGGCGGGAGGCGAGGGCCCCTCGATTGAGCCTGATGCCTCGAAGAAAACCACTGACGGAGTCGCTGTAGTTCGGATGGGCGTCGCCAAGCTCGACCTGCAACCTCCCCCTCCACCTGCCCGCGCAAGCCGGAGCTCAGCGGCCGGCTCCCGTGCTGCTGCGCGCGGCGGCCTTGGACTTCTCGAGGCCCTCGACGAGCTCCCACTCCTCCCTCTCGATGCTCATGGACTCACTCTCGCGGGCGAGGGCAAGCTTCTGCTTGTAGATCTCGACCCCGGCCTTCGCCCCGGCCTTCAAGTGATCCTGGAGCCAGGCGCGAAGATGGACCTCCGCGTTTTGCGCGCCCCCGCCGAGGGCAGCGAGGGCGGCCTTCGACGCCTGTGCGCGCCGAAAGTCCTGGTAGATTGTGGTCTCGAACACGTAGCGCACGACTTCCGCGACCCCCGCCGCGCACAAGGCCGCAGGAGTGGGCTCGTAATCAATGGACGCGAGGCCGAAGTGCCGAGCGAGCTTCGAGAAGTCGACGCGCATCATGCGAGCCTGACCGATCGCGGCATTCAGCTCAAGGAAGTCAGGGGCCGCCATGCCAGCCTGCTCAAAGGCTGAGGCGACGCCGTTGTAATTAGACTCCGCGATAGACGCACCGATCGAGGCCGCGGAGCAAACTTTCGCCGTCGCGGGAGGCTGGGCGGCGATAAGGGCCGCCCAAACGGCCCTCCCGCACTCGCCCCAAAGAGCGACGAACAGAACGAACAAAGTCGGGATGCTCCGATACTTAGAGTTGTAGTAGATAGACGTCCAGACCTTGAGCAAGCCCGCGCCGGTCTCCTCCCCACTGTGCGCGTCGAAGAACTTGGCGGGGAGCCTGCTAATAACGTGGACCGGGAACCTCTCGCCGAGGATGTCGCGCAAACTTCCCCAGAGCCTCGAGTAGGGAGCCATGCCGTGAGCCTTGGCAGACTCGCAATGCTTGACGAAGGCCTTGAGGTCCTTGCTGACTTCGCGGCGCACAGCGGCGCCGACCACGATTTCCCCGTCGCGTCTAAGGAGCCCGGCCAGTGTAGCGAGCTGGCCGAAGAAGATCGCGTGTGAGACCATGTAGTCAGCTGTCTCAGCCTCGAGAGTCGGGAACAAAGAGGCGTTGGTGAAGTTGGTCAACATGGTCTTCTCGCAGTCGATTAAGCTGACAGAGAGGGGGTCCTGGATCAACCAGGCATAGGCCTTCGAAGCGCGAGCGTCGCGATGTCCGTCGACGGTGCCGATCGCGTCATGCATGAGGGTCACAGTAGCCATGTGGTCTCCGACCTTGGCCGCGAGAATCTTGACGACCTCGTCGTAGCCGATGATGATGCTCGACTCACCCATCGCGATCACCGTAATAAAGTCGAGATCCGCAGCGTCGAATGCATGGCCTCCGTCCTTCATGTCGTAGATGGCCTGCATGGGCATGTGAGCGGCGAGCTTGGAGACGGAGTCACCGCCGCCGACCGCGCTCCTCAAAGCCGCGACGACGGCACCGGGGTCCACGTTGCCGATGCCCTCAGCCATATCAGCCACCGTGACAACCTTCTTCGGGCACTGCACCTTGAGGAGCTCGCGGGCGGCGGACGCGACACCCGACGCACCGCCGCTCAGGGGAGCGTCCTCGTATAGGTTGAGGGCAGAGAGGGTGCGATCCTCCGTCTCCTTGTCGCCCAGGCCGAGAAGCTTCCTCACCATGGAGTCTCGGATGCAGACCTTGGCGGCGACCCTCTTCGCGACTGCAGCGTCGGTCTTGCCGGACATGCCAGCGAGGATCTCGTCGGAGGTGTGAAAGAACGTCATGGTCGCGTTGGCGATGGAGGTGGCCTTCGCGGGGAGGGAGGCCCTGAAGGCCGCCTCGGCAGCTGCAGCGTCTATGCCCTTGCCGTGAGCCTTCTGCCAGGCGACGCCAAAGTCGGACTCACCCATGATGGCGGCAAGGACCGCAGGTCCGCGTCCGGACAAGCTCCTGCCGTCGCCCGGGACGACGCCTTCGACAGAGGCGACGTCGGCGTCCGTGCTTAGGGCGTTCTTGGCAACAACAACGTCCGCGCCCCCTCCGTCGTACGCGAGGGTCACGTTGATGGCGTTGACGAGAGCGGTACGGGCCTTGAGGAGCTCGTAGGCCTCAGAGAAGAGCCGTGCTTATAGGCGACGCTCATGGCGTGGTCGATGAAGACGATCGGGGAAGGCACGGTGCGGTCGACGACGCCTGAATCGAAGCACCTGGTGGTGCCAGCGACAGCAGAACTGCTATCCAGCTCGAAGGTCTGAGGGATCGAGGGCGCGAAGTCGAGATTCGGATCGTCGCGAGCGCCGCGGGTGGAGTCGAAGAGGGAGGGCATGTCGTCCTCGTCGTCCCCGGCGACGACCGACTTGCAGAATGACGCCTTCGCCGCGGTGAGCGCCTCGGTTGTCTTGGGGAGTGCGCCGAGGAACCTCGTCTCGCTCTCCACGAGCGCGCCGACGCCCACGGCCACCATCTCGCTTAGGCCTTCGAGGGGAGCGAAGGCGGGGCCGCTGCCACTGGCGAAAGTGGCTGCCTATCTTAGGCCTATTGCCCGGCGAAGACCGACGAGGTCCTCGACCTTGTTGGCTCAAGATTCGTATTCTCATTATTATTAGTATTACTGCTCTTAGTATTATCATTAAAAGTATCATTACTAATAGTCTTAGTCATACGAATATGATTAATATTATTAATGTTCTTGTTAGCTGTATCACTATTCTAGTTGCCTGATACTCTTAGTTTCAATTATTCCTCTTTACACATGATTCATTATATCAAAATGAATATTATTAATTTCAAGCTTCCGAATATGCTTAGTTTCAATGTTTCCTACTCATTCATTAGTCTGAATCCCGTATAAGAGTTATCATTAATAGAAATAGTGTCCTCTTCCTGTTCTTAGTATTCGTGTTATTCTTTTTTTCTTATTCTTATTCTTCATTGGATAATTATTATTATTCTTATTCTCATCGTAATACTAATACTATTATGAAATATTATTCTGAGTATTATTATTATTGTTCGTCCTCCTCCTCCTCATTCTCCTCCTCCTTCTCCTCCGCCTCCTCCCCCTCTTTTTCCTCCTCAATTTCTTCCTCCTCCTCCTCCTCCTCCTCCTCCTCCTCCTCCTGCCCCTCCTTCCATTCCTCCTCCTCCGCCTCCTTTTTCTCCTCCTCCTCCTGTTCCTCCTCCTCGTCCTATTCCTCCTATTCCTCTCCTCCTCTTGTCCTCCTCCTCATGACTATTATTCTTAATAGTGGTAGGTGTACCAGCACTATTACCAGTACTATGCTAAGTATTAGCCATACCATTCGCATTGTTAGTCACAGTAGTATTAGCCTTATTAGTAGTACGACTAGGAGTCTGAATAGCATGATTACGACTACTTGTAGTACCTATAGCAGTATTCATGGCAGTCTTAGTTTTAGTATTGGTATGTGGCGTACTCGTCAGCTTAGTCTTAGTAGTAGTAGTATGGTTCTGACGCATAGTAAGTATAACGATGTGTGTACACATTACAATAACATGTGTAATATAAAATGCTATGATCAGTAATAGTATTAGTTCCCACGTTAGTATTATTCGTCTGATTGATATAATTACGATTGATAGCGTTCGTATCATTGCGTGTGAGAAAATTAGTAGTGCTAGTATGTGGTTGTTGTTATTCTTATTAATAATGTGGCTCCTTCTTCTTAGCCTTATTCGTAGCATTACAACTCTTAGTATTAGCCATACTGTTATGGTCACTCATATTACCCGCATTACTCTTAGTAGTACGAATATTATTATTCGACGTATGTATATTATCACTGTTAGTATTGCTACAAATCCACTTCTACATGATAGTGTTCCTCCTCCTCCTCCTCCTCATCCACCTCCTCATCCTCCTCAGCCTCCTCCTCCGCTTCTCCCTCCTCCTCCTCCTCATCCTCCTGTTACTCCTCCTCGTCCCATTCCTCCTCCTCCTCATCCTCCTCCTCCTCCTCCTCCTCTGCCTCCTCCTCCTCCTCCTCATCCTCCTCTTCCGTGTCTTCCTCCCCCTCCGCCTTCTCCTCCTCCTCTTCCCCCTCCTCCTCCTCCCCTTCCTCCGCCTCCTCCTCCTTTTCCTCCTCATCCTCCTCCTCCTCCTGCACCTACTGCTCCTCCTCCTCCTCCTCCTCCTCCTCTTCCACCTCCTCCTCATCCTCCTCATCCTCCTAATACTATTCTTCTTCTTCTTCCTCCTCCTCCACCTCCTCCTCCACCTCCTCATCCACCTCCTCTCCTCTCTCCCTCCTCATCATCCTCCTTTTCCTCCTCATCCTCCTCCTCCTCCTCCTCATGTTCCTCCTGCTCCTCCTCCGCCTCCTCCTCTTCCTCCTTCTCCTCCTCCTCCTCCTCCTCCTCCTCCGAATCTTCCTCTACCTCCTCCGACTCCTCCTCCTCCTCCTCCTCCTCCTCCTTCTCCTCCTCATCCTCACCCTTATCTTCCTCTTCCTCCTCCTCCTTCTCCTCCTCCTCCTCATCATCAGCATCAGCATCAACATCATCATCATCAGCATCATCATCATCATCATCATCATCAGCATCATCATCATCATCATCATCATCATCATCATCATCATCATCATCATCAGCATCATCATCATCGTCAGCCTCATAATCATAATCATCAGCATCATCATTATCGCCACCACCACCACCATGAGCATCATCAACATCAACCTCAGCAGTAACATCGGCATCAGAATAATCATCATAATCAGCATCATCAGCATCATCATCATCATCATCATCATCATCATCATCATCAGCATCATCAGCATCATCATCAGCAGCAGCATCCTCGTCATCATCAGCATCATGAGCAGCATTATCATCATGAGCATCATGACCACCCTCCTCATCATCATCATAATCAGAATCATCATCAGCAGCAACATCATCATCAGCATCAGCATCGTCATCATCATCAACATAATCAGCATCCTTATCAGCATCAGCAGCATCATCTTCATCATCGTCGTCATCAGCATGATGATCATCATCATCGTCATCATCAGCATCATCATCATCTTCAGCTTCATCCTCATCAACATCGTAATCATCATCATCACCATCACCAGAATCATCACACCCACCAACAAGAACAACCTCAGCATCATCCGTATCAGCAGCATCAGCATCATCATCAGCAGCAGCATCATCATCAGCAGCATAAGCATCATCAAAGCATCATCATCAGCATCATCATCATCGTCATCATTATCAGCAGCAGCATCAACAGCATGCTCATCGTAAGCATCATCACCGTCAGCATCGTCATCATCAGCATCAGCAGCAGCATCATCATCAGCATCAGCATCATCGGCAGCAGCATCACAATCATCAGCATCGTCATCATAATCATCAGCAGCAGCCGCAGCATCATCATCATCATCATCATCAGCAGCAGCAGCAGCAGCAGCCGCATCATCATCATCATCATCATCATCATCATCATCATCATCATCACCATCATCATCATCATCATCAGCAGCAGCAGCATCATCAGCATCATCATCATCATCAGCAGCAGCATCAACATCAGCATCAGCACCATTATCATCATCATCAGCAGCATAATCGCCATGGTCGTCATCATCATCATCATCATCAACAACATCAGCTTCATCATCATCAACATAATCATCAGCATCAGCATCATCAAAAACAATATCGTCATCATCATCAGCTTCAGCATCATCATCATCAGCAGCATCAGCCTCAGCATCATCAACATCATCGGCAGCATCATCATCAATCATCATCAGCAGCATTATCATCACCACCACCACAATCGTCAGCATCATCATAATCAGTAGCAGCAGCAGCAGCATCAGTAGCAGTATCAGGATTCCATCATCATCAGCATCATCAACATCAACCTCATCACCATCATCACCATCATCATCATCATCATCCTCATCGTCATCATCATCAGTATCATCATCATCGTCATCATCATGATCATCGTCGTCATCATCAACATCATCATCATCAGCATCAGCGCCATCATAATCATCATCATCATCACCACCATCATCATATCATCACCATCATTAGCATCATTATCATCATTAACATCATCATCAGCAGCAGCATCATCATCATCACCATAATCATCACCACAACCACCACACCACCACCACCAACACCACCACCATCACCATCATCATCATCATCATCATCATCATCATCATCATCATCATCTTAGGCATCGACATAATCATCGTCATCAGCATCACCATAATCAGCATCAACAGCATCATCATCATCGCCATCATCATCGTCACCACCGTCATCAGCATCACCATAATCATCATGACTATCAGCATCATCACCATCACCATCATCATCAGCAGCATCATCCTCATCAGCATCATCATATCCATCACCATCAACAACATCAGCATCATCACCATCATCATCAGCAGCAGCAGCATAATCCTCATCATCATCCTCATCATCATCCTCATCATCATCATCATCATCATCATCATCATCATCATCATCATCATGATCATCGTCCTCCTTTTCCTCCTCCTCCTCCTCCTCCTCCTCTGCCTGCTCTTCCTCCTCCTCCTCCTTCTCCTCCTCTCCTCCCTTCTTCTGTTTCTCATCCTCCTCCTCCTCTTCCGCCTCCTCCTCCTGCTGCTGCTCCTCCTCCCCCTCCTTCTCCCCCTCATCCTCGCTCGTCCTCGCTCGTCCTCGCTCGTCCTCCTCCTCCTCCTCCTCCTCCTCCTCCTCCTCCTCCTCCTCATCCTCCTCCTCCTCCTCCTCGGGCATTGAGGCACTGATGGTCTGAGAGTCCGCCGGACGCGACCATCCCCCACCCCCCCAGGGCCGTTCGGCCCTGGGGGGTGATCAAACTAGGAGCCTGGCGACTGCTGGAACGGCCACTCCAAGGGTCGCCAGCTGGTAAGAAGTAAAGAAGATGACGAATACAGACAGGAAGAGGCAATGGTGAGGGAAGATGAAGAAGGGAAAGAGGAAGAGAGAAAAAAATAGCAATGCGACGAGCAATGGCAAAAAAGGCGAAGCATGAGGTTGAAGCTGTGGCGCTGCGCGCGCGAGTTGTGAGGCCGCAGCTGCTGTGGTTGCTGCCGCCCTGGCCAACGCCACTACGGCAAGATGCCTCCTTGAGGCAGCTGTGCGACGGGTGCCCACGCTCGCCAAGGTGGAAGGCGCAGAGGCCTCTCCCCCTGCCCTCTGCCCATAGAGATCCCCACAGGCGCCCCCCAGTCCGACGACGGGGACCCTCCCCCGTAAATTTTGCGCAGGGTCACCAAAAAGTAAGACTGGGGGCAACCCGGGGGGAGCCCACCGAGCGCAGGGGAGGTTTACGCCTTCCGTGACGGTGGCTTTCCCAAGAGAAACCCGCCTCATAGGGACCCGCCCCCTTCCACGCGAAAACGCGGCACGAAAGACGCGAGGCAAGCAAGAGGGCGCGAGGGTGGCAAGTGCGAAAGGTGAGACAGGAGGCCATGTGGCTGGTTCTCGGCGCCGCGGGCCGCGGCTATCCTTCAGCCAAGGTGGCCAACGGAATCTGCGCACTTGTTGGCGCCGTTGACTGCGAAGGCGCAATGGCTGGCATCCATGCTGCCTGACGCGAATTGAAATAGCCGCTGCGGCGGTCGGCACATGCGAAGGAGCTGACTTGCACGCTGCGGGCCGCGGTCACCAGGGCCCTTCGCCGCGGCGGCCAGCGGCGAGCTCCCCCACCCACCCACCCAGTAGCCGCATCCACCCCGCCCCATAAGAGCGGCGAAGGCGCAAGTTAGATGGGCGGGGCGAGGGCAGCACATCACGCATGGAAGCGGGCAGCCAGCGGGAAGTGGGGGGCGGGGCGAGAGCCCCCAGCGGCCTAACTGACGACAGGCCCCCCGCGTCGTCGCGCCCCCGACGCCCCACGACGGCGGGACAAGGTGGCACCGAGGAGGCGCGTGAGAGGACTCCATGGGTTGGCGGTGATTCTGACCAACGCTGGCAAGAATGTCGCGGCGGGCGCCAGGGGCCCTGCGTCACCGCAAACCCACAAGTACACGGCGGATAGCGTGCGTCCACGGGCAAAACACGTCGGCCAGGTAGCATGCGCGGGCGAGATAGCCACGGCGGGTTCCGGGGCCCTGTCTGACGGTGGACCCGCTGCATAGCACAGCCTGCTGCAGGTGCACACGCCACGAGCGACGCGCACGCGCGGCCGCCGCAAGAATGCTCGAAGCTGCGGGGGCGCGCCGCCGCCAGAGACAAAATGAGGCAGACGTCGCAGAGGACGGGTGGCCAGTGCGAATCATCTGTCGCCGCTGCTGGCTGCCCAGTGAGTTCGGCCGTTTAGAGGGCAGCGCCGAGGAAGGGGCATCGGAAAAAGCAGATGGTCGCCAGTGGAGTATGCTGTCGGTCTGCTGGAGCCAAACTAGTCACACCAGGAGGCGGCGGGCGACGCGCCGATGGGCCGCCGTTCGACCGACCCCACCTCGAGGCACGAGCCCCGCGCGGCTGTAGGCAACCAGGGGGGCCCCTGATTCACCAGAAGCGGTCGGCTACGCGGGCTGGTAGACCTGCGCGAAAGGCGGCCACGGCGTCCATGGTGACGCCGCTTCCGCTTGGCTGGCGGCGTCGCTGCACGCCAGCTGTTGATGGCGTCGGGCTTGGACCGGCGTGAATGGTCTCAGCGGCGTCAATGCCCTTCTTCGCAGAGTAGTCCAGGTTGTCGTACCCGAAGCACGCCTCGTCCTGATTGTCGTCGCGCATCGCCTTCATGTCGGCCATGAGCGGTGGGGGCCTCGTGTCGCGGTCGTCGTTGGCAGTAGTCCGGGTGCTGCCGCTCGTGATCCTGATGCGAATTGGGGCTGGTTTCTGCGGGGTGGCGTCGGCAGCGGTCGCCAGCCAAGCGCGCTTCTCGTCGATCAGGCGTCGGATTCGCTGGCCGGTGTCTCCCGCGTCGAGAGAGAGGAGCAAATCCCTGCTGAGGGCGCCAGTGATAGGGAGAAAGTCTCGGCCCAGTGGGAGGGGCCATGTCGGCGCTGGCCCAGACCTCGCGGGCATTGTGGCGCTCGCATTCAATGCCAACGGCGTTCGGAAATCCTGGCGCGCGGCGGTTGCCTACGACGCCCCCCTCATCTGGTGGCCCACCCATGTCGGCCCCGCCACGAGCCTTCGGCGCTGCGTCTGACATGGGGTCGAAATCAATTCCCAGCTTGATGAGCACGGGGGCGTAGAATCTCTCCTTGGCGACTATATGCGGCGTCGGCAGGTCCCTGCGGTCGTCGGCAATCGGGCAAGCGACGATAGCGGCGAGCTGGCGGTTGATGAAGTGAGACAGAACGATCTGCCGGCTGGCCATCGTGAACGGGCGGGCTGGCGGGAGCGCCTCGCTGCTCAGAGATAGCCGAGGGAGGCGGCGCCGCACATCATCAGGGCGTCGCACTCGCAGCTCAGGACGCGGCCGGGGTCTGCGCCCCAGTCGTGGCCGGCGCCGACGACTGCGATAGCTTCCGAGATCGCCTCGCGGACGTGCATCTCGCAAATGAGGGCCGCTCTCGCAGCGGAAGCCGCTGATATCGCTGGCCAGGCGCGCGACGGCGCCACGCTGAAGGTCTGCCCCAGATGATCCTAATATCATGCCGATGCGTGGCTCTTCGGTGGGCGGAGTGGCCTGCTCGTAGACGGCATCCACGCGCGGTCAGGTCAATGCCTCGGCGATGGCCCTAGCAGGCGGTGGCTTGTAGGGCACCTGCGCAGGGGGGGTGCAATTGCTGCTCTGTGCACCAGTCCCGTCGCATGAGGGTGGCGACGTCTCTGCCTCCTGGCATGGCAAGGCGTTCGGGCTGGGCCTGGCGCCCTCTTGCCCGAGGCCCCTGTCGTCTGTCATCCCGCGCACCTCGACCTCGGCCGTCGTCAGCTGGGGCGCGGTGGCATCGTGCGGGGGCAGCGCCCTGGCAGGCACGGCCTTTGTCGGCGGCGCTTTGCAGCGAAGCCCGGCCTCCTGCGCAGCCTCGGCGCCGCGATCGACGCCGTCGGTTAGCGACCCGTCGGCGGCTGCCGTCGACGATGACGCTGTAGTTGCCGTCGTTGCTTGGTCGAGGTTCTGGGGTTGCCGCGGCGCCCCGTCGCGGTCGCGGGCAAAGCGGTTGCTGTTGGGCGCGGAGCCACTCGCCGAAGACACGGCGCGCTGATCGCGAGGACGGCGGTTCGCGGCCGCCAGTGGCTCCGCTGTCTGGATCTCCCAGATGATCGACGTTATCCCCTCGGAGCTGAGAACGGCGTTGGAGTGGCGCTCAGTGATGCGGCGGATGCTGCTCCCACGTTGGTCGCCCGCCTCGATGTGGGCGTACATCTGGTCTTTGCCCAAGGGTTACACGTCGCTCTTGACGATGTCAAGGGCGTTCTTGCGCTCGGAGTTCCAGTTTGTCGGTTTCTCAATCCGTAGACGACCCGCGGATTGGGCGCCGGCAGTTGGCGTCGATGGTCGAGCGGCATGCTGGGCGGGAGGTCTAGCCCAGCCGCCTCGGTGCCCGCGCCAGCGCATGCTGGGCCCATCTGCGGCAAGCCAGCGGGTAGGACGGCGGCGGCGGGCAGTCGGGTGGTGGAAGGCCTCCTTCGAGCTGTGGGTTCGGGGTCGGGTTTACTGTCAGGCGCCCGATCGCAAGCCTGGGCTTCGCGGGCGTAGTCCGCGGCGGCCGCGACCGCTATTCGCGCGAGCTGCGCGCAGGGCGCGCGGGGAGCGATGTCCTTCGCTAGCGCCCACTAAGTGAGTGAACATCGATGCCAGACACGAGGTTGCGGATATCCCCCAGTGAAATTCTCATGCAGCCGAAGACGGAAGCGCCATTCGGCCCCTCCCAGTTGGCAGGACCTGGAGGCTGCGGCCCGGTCACTGCGATGGCCTGACATTGGGGCAGGGCAGCACGCCGGAGATGGCACGCTGCGCCCCAGTCCCTACTGAGAATGCGGCGTCTGCCAGTGCGCGTCGGTTCGCGCCGGCAATGTCGCCACTGCGGGTTGCCGTTGAACGGTGGCCCCACTTGACATTCACGTCGCAGCTCAATCTCGTTGGCGCGGTTAGTGGGGTCCCTGTATTCAACCTGGTAGCGCTACAGGTTGTGGGGCTCCTCGTCGTTGGCATCGACCAATGATACGGGCCCCCCGTGGGGCCCCCCGTCGGGCGCGCGCAGCCCCGCCCGGGTCCGCGGCGTGAAATCTAAATTCTTCTGCGCGAAGATGAGATTGTCGCTGCAAGGCCGCATTGCCCTTCCCCCTTTGCTGGCCAGCGCTTCCGCGGGGCAGAGGAGAGGCGGCAGCTCTTCGCTCGGCTCGTGTAAACTGCTGTTCTCGTTTGCCACATGCAGCAGATAGGAGGCGCGCTGGTGGGACTTCGAATGGGATACCTTCCGTTCTGCTTCTTGTAGGTCTGCACGTTTGTATACTTGGACAGCGGGGATCCTGTGGAGATGCTCGAGGTTGATCATATCGGCACCGTCGGGCCCCGTCTGCGGTGGGAGGAGCCAGGCGAGGTCGTTCCCGGCCAGCTCCTTGGCGCGCGCCCACGGCAGGGCGGCGACAGGAGCCATCCTCTCCGCGGCGCGCAAGGATCCGCCCTCATGCGTCATGGTCCAGAGTGGCGCGGCAGCGGGGCACGCGTCGCGGCATCGCTGACCAGTGGCCCGCCGTGTCCGGGACGTCGGGTTCAGTGCGGTTCACGTCGGAGAAGCTCTGGATGCCGTCGGCGGCTCTCCCGGCGGCCCCCCTCTCCCGTCTGCCGTTGGTCTGGCCCAGATACGCAACTGCGCAGCGGTCGTGGTAGAGCGCGTTCATCCAACCTCCTTCCGCGATGGTCGGCGCTAATTCTGGTTCGACTCCAAGCGCCGCGAATGCGCACTCCCCGGCAGACGGCGGATGACTCGACGCCGCGCCGGGATCTGCCGGGCGCTCGCGCCGCCGACCTGGCCAAGCGAAGGTCTAGTCGCTTATCTGCGGGAGGAATGTGGTCAAGTAACTCAACTCCCTCTCTGATACGGTGCCCGCATGGAACTCTGGGCTGGCCCTGCCACTGGAACTCGGGCGCCGCGCTCGGCGCGACTTCTGGCTGGCCGCGCTGCTCGAATTTGAATACCCGCTCTGCGCTGGGCGGCGTTGTCCACGGCGCCCTCGGCGATCCACATCCCCGCGCGCTCGGGGAACACTAGATGGGGGGTCACCTTAACGGCTTTGTCGTGGATAGTCGCTTCACATGGGCCCAGGTCGTCTGCTAGTGAACTACCCCACTGTCGGTCCACAAGCGGCCACATGCCTCGGTCGAACCGGTCGAATTGGGCAGCGCAAGCACAGGGCAGCTGCAGGGTCAGCGGCCGAACCCTCGAGCCAGATAGGTCGCTGGCAACAGAGGGGTTGCTGTGATTCGAGGATGTTCCTCAATCAAGTCGCCTCCAATCGGCGCCATGGTCAGCCGGAGGGGCAGCCACCCCTCAGGCCAGGCGCACGAGAACCCCTTGGTAGACGTTGCTCAGGCGGGAATTGAGGCAGCGCCTGTCACGGTGACATACCCCGAGCGAAGCGGGCCGCACATATTGCCGTCACTCCCTGTCCGCCACCCCATATTTGACCGAAATGGATGTCGCAGTGCAGCGGGGCGTTGAAGTCGACGCACATGTCCGCGTTCTCCCACTGGTAGTTCGCGACCCTGCCGCCCCCCGCCACTTCGCCTCCAGTCGGCGCCAATGTCTGTTGAACAAGCAGTGGCCCAGCAGGTCCAGCGCGCGAGAACCCCTGGTAGACGCACTCAAACGGCTGTCGAGGTTTCGCCTGCCAGGGGACATGCCCCGACTGGCGCGGGCCACGAGTTACTCCTGATCCAGTTCAACAGTCACTGTGGCTCACCGAGCAGTAGTCGCCGATGCGTCACGAAGTCGGTGCCCCCATGGGAGTCCCAGGGGGCGTAGAGCTCGACGCAGCTGCCCTCGACCTCCCACTGCTCGGGGGCGCCCCCATTCACCCCATTGCGCGCGCATTGCTTCGGGCAATGCTGCCGCCAGTTTCTCGCTGAGCCTTGCGGGGCGCGCATCGGCAGCTGCGCTTCGCCACGTTCCGTTCTCGCCCCGCCCCCAGACGCCGGCGAGCGCCACGTCCACGGCTGCATCTACATCGGTTGGGTTTCGAAGGGATTCGCGCTGATAGTCCTGGATGGGCCAACAGCAAAAAGCGCCGTCGGTCTCCGCGACACCTGCGCCATCACACAGTGGTCGGACGAGGTAGTTTGCACCGCGGGGCTGTAGAGGTCGGCGCTGCATTTCGGGCGGGGGCCAGCTCCTGGGCACCTGCCTCCTGTCGCGAACTCTCTCGGGGTGCTCCGCCACTGATGGGGAACCCGCAGCGTTGGCTGCGCACAGCATGGGGACTGTTGTACGTTGGCAGCTGGCTCGGCCCCCTAGCTCACCCTCGCGTTTCGCAAGGTAGTTGGGGGTCCCGCGGTTGCTCCCCGATGCGAAGAGGTCGCGGCTGTTGCTGCACGTCTGGAGGGTCTCGCCTTCGAGCTGCACTCCATGTCTGACACAGTGGCCATGCCACTATAGCTGCTGCATCCCCGTCGCGCATCTGGTTGAACCAAGAGGCGACTGCGCTCCAGTCGGTCAAGGCGCCAGCCGTGACGTGGTCGGCGACATCAATAAATCGCGCGCAGGTCTGCGTGACGAGCGGCGGCTGGAAGGGCCCCAACCATTACGGGGGGTATCCTTCCCGTCGGTGGCCGCTATAAAGGTAGACAACGAAGCGTGTGGGGCCTCCAGCAGGTCGTGGCATTGTCGGGTTGGGCATTGTCGTGTTGGGCGTGCTGGGGTCGATTGCTGGTAGCTCCACCAGTGAGCCGCGTGCCTGTTGTGTTTGCATTTCGCTGGTACGTCCATATTGTAGCTCAGTATCGGTGCGTCGCGAGCGGTCTGCTGGCCCTGATTGTTTCATGTGTCACACGCATGGCCTCGCGGTTATCCTCGGTCTCGTCGCCGTTGAGCGCTGGCACGGCTGTCATCCATGGCACAACGCATGATTGAGTCGCCTGGAGGTGCTGGACCAGCCTCGCGTGGGTGCGGCACTGGTATCTGCATGTCATGCACAACGCTCCCTGTGCCCATCTCGCAGGATGCGCCGCGCTCTTGTGCCGCCTGCCGAACTGGGAGTAACAGGCGCTCTTCTTGGCAAAGAAATATCGCCCCACACTGGTAACACATCAGGTGGGGCTTGGGTGCGCGGCGGTGGCATGCTTGGAATTGGTGGCCTCTCGGTGGTGTTCCGGTACGGTTCGAGTTCTCGGTAACATCGTTCCTGGTGCGCTTTGCCTCTCTGCCGTCGCAGCTACCGTGCCGTCACTGTTTTGATCGTTGCTTTGAAATTGTCTCGCTCGTCACGCACAGCTCGCATCACTTCCAGAGGGTCAGCCGTTGATGTTGGTCGCTCGTCTTGGCCGAGGTAGCCGTACAACCATTGCATGTTTTGGACCATCCTCGTGGTGATGGTCTTCGTCCAGGAGCCTCAACAGCACCGCAAGCCCGTGCAAGAGTAGGCGTCGTAGGTAATGCAGCCTCCTCGCACGTCTGGCAACGTCGTGGGGTAGCCCGTTGGCCTCGCCTAGCACCTGCAAGCTGGATACCCTGTTTGCCTTGTCGCTGGCGGCGCGGTGCCCAGCAGCTTGCCTATATCCTTTCACGCACTCCACGACAATCGCGTTATTGTCAGCGTCGGTAAGGTTGCCCCAGACGATGACCAGGGGGGTTGTAGAAGACCTGTCTGTCGGGTCATTTCTCCTCTTCAAAAATATGTTTGCGATGCTCACCATTGCCGTGTTGGTCCCTCGAGGCTCATCATGGCTGCGGCGGTGATGGCGATGGTGCGGGCCGTCTGCAAGTCGACAAGATCCACGGTCTTGTCGGAGCCGGCGCTGCGTATGCTGGTGATGCCTGGTGATGCCTTCCTTCGCCATGTGCTCCTTGGAGGTCCGCGAGCCTGTGCCGAACAGTAGGAGCATGATATTAGTCTCTTTGGCGTTGAGTCGCATGCCGTATGATCGTACTCTGGATTCCACCATCTTCAGA